GACGAGGGATGTGACGGCCCTCATTCGTACACTCAATTTTTTGCAATTTGAGTTTTATCTATTTATTATTTTTTTTTTGTTACAGAAACAAAACTATTAACCGTATTCCGTACTTTTTATGCATAAAAATGTGCGTGCGTACATTTTAAACACAGTTGCCAAAAGTGTGTTAATAAAGAGCTATTTCCTTTTGAATTGTCCAATCGTTGTTCCCAATTGTTTCGTAACTAAAAATTTTTTTGATGGCCGGTACACTTATGCTTTCTGGCAAAATCCCAAACTATCGTAGTTTGGATTTGTTTGCGCCCAAATCCCACAAAAAACTTTATCAATAATCTTTATATTCTTACGTATAGTTATACACATATAATACGTATATATAAATTTATTTTTTTTTAAAAAAATTATCTTTTTTGATTAATTTTTTATAAATAGCAATTGTTACCAGCAAATATAAGTACACTATTAAGTTTCGAGTACCCATGTCTTTTCCACCAAATTTGCATATATAGCCCTGAATTTGCTCATGATTTTTTTTATAGAACATGAAATTCAATTTTTTATTTCACAATATTGTATAGCAGGCATAGCAGTCGTGTTAGAGCGAATTTATGAAATTATCTTCTGTGCAGCACTAATAAAAAGTTTTTTTCGCAAAATTGTTAGTATGACTATCCTAATTTAACAGCGAAAATTTGTTTATGTATACCGATACTGGTGATATGTACATATTTGTTCTTTATACTATTTAGGTAAAATTGGCTCAATTTTTTCTTTTTGCGGTCAGGCCACTTTCAAAATTTATATATCGACGTTAACATTGATGATGAAACAATTATACAGTACAGATGACATGTAATTACATAATTTGTATATATTCTAAAATTGGCGTTCTAATATTGACAACGCCCGCTTGGAATCCTGTGTTTCATGCTGGGCGCTGTCCCTTCCTCTTATATTTTAAAGTTCGATAATTTTTGCTTAATTCGTTAAACTGTTTGCCAATTTTTATCCATGATTTTTTAATACCTAGATAAATAATGATAATGTATTATTAGTACGTATCAATATGCGGTGTTTCCCACGTATTAGTATCTGATATTTAACGTTAATTTTATCGTAAGTTCAAAATTAAAAAAAAAAAAATTGGATTTTTTTTTTTCAAATGGCTCAAGAACCTACTCAAGAAAAAACCGAAGTTGAAGAAGGAATAAACAATGTAATTGAAAATGAATTAAGCCACGAGTTTAAGGACGCTAAAACACAAATACATGTATTTGACCCTGATGCTCCTCCTGAACTAAAAGCCAAGCAGGCTGCGGGAAGTTCTAATGTTGGTTTAACTGCAATGCCAGCTGTCAAGGGGGTCGTTTCAGACGCTACTTTAGACCAGGTTTCAGATAAAAAAGATACAAAGGAAGAGGAGGAGTCAGTTTTACCAGGCGATTTTCCTCAAGCACCAAAGCCTACCTCAGAAGCCCCAAAATGGGCGCGTATAGGGTGGAAAAATGTCGCGGAATTTGGTCCGACTGACATTGATCATGATATTTTTGGCGAATATTTGAGCGAATTGTATTATGGAAATCTTTGGTTAAATGCATCTGTAATTTTTATTTCGGTATTTGCTACATGGATAATTACTTCTCTTGGTGGTGGGCTTGGTTGGGTTATTATAATCTGTGCTTTTGTTGGTAAGGATTAATTCCATCATCTATAACTCAATTTTCATTTTTTTCATTTTTTTTTTTTTTTTTTAATAAACGTTCTGTTTGATATTTTTAATTTTTTAGCAACTTACTACGCGAATTCTATGAAACGTTTTTATCGCAATGCACGTAGCGACATTTCTCGTGAACTTGCCAGAGAAAAACTTGAAACAATGACTGGTGAATCAGTTGGATGGATGAACGAATTTTTACGCCGTTTTTGGCTTATTTATGAACCTGTATTATCGGCAACAATTGTTGGCATTGCTGATGGTATATTAGCTTCCGCAACTCCCACTTTCGTGGATTCAGTTCGCTTGAAAATGTTTACATTAGGTACAAAACCAGCCACTATTGAATTTATTAGGTCTTACCCAAAAACTGAGGATGATATTGTGGTAAATTACTGTCGTGCTCATATATTAACTATTATCATTAATTTCTTGCTCTGTGGATTACAATTAGAATTAATTTGAAGCTTTGTTATTGGTAATTTTTGTTTTAAGGTTATGGATTGGAAGCTTTCTTTTGATCCAAATGACCTTGCAAATATGACAAAGGCTCAATTGAAAAACAAAGTTAATCCAAAAATTGTGCTTGAAGTTCGATTAGGAAGGGGTGTGGTTGGCGCCGGTATTCCTATATTGCTTGAGGATATGTCACTTGCTGGAATTATGCAAATTAAAATGAAGTTAATAAACACATTCCCACATATCAAAACTATGGACTTAAGCTTCCTGGAAGAGCCAAAGATAGATTATGTTTTGAAGCCAATTGGAGGCGAAATGCTCGGATTCGATATTAGCAATGTAAGGCTGTTAATTTATTTATAATATGTCTTAGATATGAGAAATATTTAGGCGGCTATCCATATTGTTAGATTCCTGGGTTACATTCGTTTATTCAAGATCAAATTCATTCAACACTGCGTCCCATGATGTACGCTCCACATATATATACATTAGACGTTGAGAGTATTATCGGTGGATATCCTATCGGTATAAGAAAATTTTTTTTTTTTTTTTTGCGTTGGATTCTTTTTATAGTATTATTATTATATTCTTATTATTATGTTCTAAATTTCAATAGAATCTGCTCTTGGAGTACTTAAACTTAAAATCATGTGTGCAAAAGGATTAAAGAATGCGGAAACGTTTGGTACTTCTGATCCTTATGCCAAAGTAACTTTACACGGAAATAAAGTACTCGCTAAAACAAAAACAATTGATGACTCATTGAATCCTGTTTGGGATGAAACATATTTCCTGATATTAACATCTTTGAACGAAGGTTTAAATTTTGAAATATTTGATTACAACGAAATGTCTAGGGACAAGCTACTCGGCACAGCCGAGTTTAAGTTGTCGTCATTATTGGATAGTCCAAAACAGGAAGATGTGTAAGAGTAGTATATTATCATTCTTATTATTACATTATTATTATGTTTTCACAAAGATAATCGCATTTATTTGAATTTTGTTTTATAGTACATTACCGGTATTAGTTAGAGGAAAACCGCATGGTGAAATCAAGATTGGTGCTACATGGTACCCAGTAGTAGAAGCTACCGAGACAGACCCAGTTCCAGAATCCAGTATGTCTTGATTTTTACGAATATTTATATAGTAAGATACTTACTTTCAACGAATTTTTGTAGATATCGGTGTTTTGCGATTCACAATTCATCAAGCTAAAGAACTTGATCCAAGAAATTCATTAGTAGGACATTATAGTCCGTATGCTGAATTAGTCTTGAACGGGAAGGTTGTTCATACTACAAGGACCATCAAAAGAAATAATAATCCAGTTTGGGAAGTGCGTATAATATATCAAATGCTTTCTTTTTTGTATATTCATTAGATGTATTTCTTATTAATATTTATTAATATTATATTATTATTGTTGAAAGGAACCGTTCGAAATGTTCATCACTAATAAAGCTGCTGCTGAGGTATCTGTCAAGGTTAGAGATGCACGTGATCTTACATCTGATCCGGTTGTTGGTAGCTGGAGCAGCAAGTTACAAGACTTTATCGATGCATTGGCAACGAAAAACGACTGGTTTAACGTAACTGATGCAAGTGCTGGTAAATTGAGATTAGGCTGTACATGGAAGCCAGTATTGTTTGATCATGAGTTTGAGCATGGCGGATACGGTACGACATTTTCTTTAAACACTTTTCAATAATAAAATTTAGCTTTAAATAATATGTATATTTTTTATTTTAGAGGATGCGATTGGAATGATCAGACTTCACATTAAAAAAGCTGAGGATCTGAAGCGCTTACAGATGATAGGTTGTAATTATACATCAATGACTTTCTCAAATTTAATAAACTAGCTCAATTAAAATGCTAATAATGTTCAAATTATGGACCACACAGGAAAATCAGATCCGTATGTAATAATTCGATTGAGCTCTACTTACCGTGGTCGTACAGAAGTAGTTCTAGATACTCAAAATCCAGAATGGAAACACGAGCTTCATTATGTACCTGTACATTCCTTGAAAGAGTCAATAGCTTTACAAGTATTAAGTCATGAAAGCAGAGACTTTGGTTCAGTTGATTTTTATGTGGATAAACTGGCTCAGCTGAATGAAGAAGGATTATACCAAGCAACTGAGCCCTTTGATGCGTAAGTATGACATGACCTCTTAATACTCTTCAAAGCAAAATTCTGATAAACGTCATGAAACTGTATTTCACTTTAATAATACTATTTTTAATATAGTTCTTCAGATTTAATTATTGTGAATGAGCCCAAGGGCTTACTTTTCTATTCAGCCAGTTTCCATCCCACCTTACAAACAAAAAAAGTTAAAACTCCTGAAAAAGATTCAGAAAAGGATTCAGAAAAAGACACTGTGAAAGATTCAGAAAAAGATTCAGAAAACCTTTTAGAAAAGGACGAGAAAAAAGGCGAAACTGACATAGTAAATGGAGTTGAAAACATTAATGCGCTTGACTATGGTAAGATAGATAAATATTTTAAGCTTATTTATGCTTTCTTAAAAATGATTTGTCTTATGTTTTATTACACTTCTAGAATCTGGAATATTGGTTGTTCAAATCAAAAGTGCCAATCTGGATAAGAAGGATACCTCTGTTGAAATTTATGTTGATAATGGATTATTCCCTGTTTTCATGACAAAACGATGTAAAACGGCAAACCCTGATTGGAATCAAGGTATTTGAATTGAT